GCCATCCTGGCACTTCCATCTGTCAGCAATGCAGAGTGCTGCAGTACAACTGAAATTCCACTATCATTGACTTTTACACATGAAGGACAAGATCACACAAGCAGAAGTGCTTCTTATTAACAACACTGGTGTAAATGTGTAAAGACATTCTGGAAATGCAGAAGCATCCACGAATCACAGGGAACCGGCTTTTGATATGTACGAAACCAGTTTATTTGATATAATATCAATCCACAGCTCTATATACAAAATAAAAATGCATTTCTATAGCTCAATGGGAACGTTTCAATTAGGGTTGGGTTGGTCAATATCATCTAAAATATTTTCCAGTGGCTTCTCTTGATTGCATTCAGCAAATTTTGGAATTTAAAAACATGAACCCAAATTTAAATGTAAGATACTCACGTTTAAAGAAAAAAATAAATGAAAAGAAATTACACTGCAAGCATTTTGTCTGTGTAAGGGCTCGGATCGTCTTCTATAAAGAATCGTGAGTTTAAGCGTCAAATCGTGGGTCATTATGTGTCATTCATGTAGAGCTGAACCACAACAAACCATTTAAACAGGAACAGAACAGTCCATCAGCTAAAAATTATATTGCATTTATCAACAAAATTCAAGTAAAACAGGACATAGCGACCTAGAATGAGCTGTAAAAAAATCCTCCGCTCTCAGAAAGAAATCATAAAAATTCATTCAGCATTATTTTGACCTGAGATCTAAACCACATCTAAATCAATATTCAACACAACTACTCGATGAATATTCAATTTACATGTAGATTTCAGGTCAGAATAGTGCACAGTATGTACATTTCGGATAAATCGCAAAGAAATAAACACAAATATTAAAATGGCGTTTACAGCTTCTCTGTACAAATATGAGACAATGCTTGAACAAATAATGAAAAAGTGAGATATTTAACCAGGCTGTTGTTCTTCTTACATCTGAAGGACATCATAAATAAATCCCAGCCCTTATTTAGGAAATAACGATGTGAAGAA